TCCAACTACCATCACATTGGGGGTTACGACTTCAACATAGGAATTTTGAGGGGATTTAAAATAGCACCTTTCATGGTTCAGCTTGAAAGTACTTCCACTTGGTTTGGCCCCTGTTTCCCAGGCTGTGGCAGGCTGTGAGATAATGAGGCTCTCAGCATGTTCCTCTATGCTCCCTGTCCCCAGTGCTGTTAAGACTCCAGTTTCCTTTCAGGTCCTCCCCCTCTACCTTTAGATGGGGGAGAAGTGGGATTGTCTCAGAAACATAGTTTTGTGCTACCACATTTCTGCTGCTCGTCATCCTGGTGACCCCCTCCCTGTTCATGCTCCAGAGCCTCACACACCGACAGGTGATCAAGTGGCCAATGCCTGGGCGCCTCCCCACTCCTCCTCCAGAGCCCTTGGTGTGCGTCTGTCCTCATGCCTGCTCCAGAAATAACCCTACACAGAGAAAGACCCTTCCTAGTGCATCTCTCTATGCTTCTGTTTGTGCTGTGCCCTCTCTAAGAAAAAGCCACAGGCCATGGTCTCCACATTTCAGGGAGTTTTATTCCTACCTCTTTCCTCCTTGGATCCAGGCACAAGTCCATGGGGGAGGATGATGGGAGATAGACTGGGGGCCTTTACTGCAGCCCTCAGGGTGCTGTCCTGGGACCGAATCTGCATACCTGCCTCATTCCCTTGGTGAAGTGCGTCTCAGGAAGTTTTTCTGTCCTCCCTGCATTAACCCCTGGCAGGCACACCCTCCAGAATTGCTCAGACCTGTCTGAGCTCCCTAGTGAAACCCCCAGGCTGCCAAGCTGGGATTTCCCAAAGTGGGAGGAATTTTCTTCTTCCTACCCAAATTCTAAAGGATAGGCTGTTTTTACAGATAAGATAAGCATAGATGTTTTCAGGATGCTTGTTTGAGATTCAGACTTACATAACTAACAATAAACAGTATAAAGTTTCCTTTATTTTAATAAAAGTCGATTTAACTTTTACCCATAGAGAATAGCTGTGTTAATTACTCGTCTGTTGCAGACATACCTCGGAGATACTGAGGATTTGGTTCCAGATCACCGCAGTAAAGCGAGTTGCGCTATTTTTCTGGTTTCCCAGTATCTATAAAAGTTATGTTTACACTATACTGTAGTCTGTTAAGTGTGTGATAGCGTTATGTCTAAACAAAATGTACATACCTTAATTTAAAAATACTTTATGGCTAGAAAATGCTAATGATCATCTGAGTCTTTAGCAAGTTTTACTCTCTTTGCTGATGGAGGATCTTGCCTTAATGTTGATGGCCGCTGACTGCTCAGGGTGGTGGTTGCTGGAGTTTGGGGTATACGTGACAACTTCTTAAAATAAGATGACAGCGAAGTTGACCACAGCATTGACTCTTCCTTTCATGAAAGATTTCTCTGTTGTGTGCAAAGCTGCTTGATAGAATTTTACCCATAGCAGAACTTCTTTCAATATTGAAATCAGTCCTCAAACTGTGCTTTTGCTTTATCAGCTAAGTTTATGTAATATTCTTAATTCTTTGTTGTCATTTCAACAGTGTTCACAGCATCTTCACCAGGAGTAAATTCCATCTTAAGAAACCACTTTCTGGGCTGTGTGTGATGGCTCACACCCGGAATCCCAGCACTTTGGGAGGTCAAGGCAGGAGGATCTCTTGAGCCCAGGAGTTTGAGACCAGCCTGGGCAACATAGCCAGACCTCCTATCTCTACAAAAATTTTAAAGATTAGCTGGGCCTGGTGGCATGCACCTGTAGTTCTAGCTACTTGGGAGGCTGAGGCAGGAGTATAGCTTTAGCCCAGAAGTTTGAGGCTACAGTGAGCTATGATGATGCTGCTGTACTCCAGCCTGGGCAACAGAGTGAGATCCTATCTCAAAAAAAAAAAAAGAAAAAAAGAAACCACTTTCTTTGCTCATCTACAAGAAGCAACTCCTCATCCATTCAAGTTTTCTCATGAGATTTCAGCAATTCAGTCCCATCTTCAGGCTCCACTTCAAAGTCTAGTTCTCTTGCTATTTCCACCACATCTGCAGTCGCTTCCTCCACTGAAGTCTCAGAGCCCTTGAAGTCATCCATGAGGGTTGGAATCTACTTCTTCCAAATCACTGTTAATGTTGATATTTTGACCTCCTCCCAGGAGTCATGAATATTCTTGATGGCATATAGAATGGTGAATCCTTTCCAGAAGGTTTCAATTTACTTTGCCTAGATCCATCAGAGGAATCACTGTCTATGGCAAGTGTCGCTGTATGAAATATATTTCTTAAATAATAAGACTTGAAAGTTGCGATGTCTCCTTGATGCATGGGCTGCAGAATGGATGTTGCATGAGGAGTCATGAAAACAATATGGTCTCCTCATACATCTCCGTCTCCATCAGAGCTCCTGGGGGACAGGTGCATTGTCAATGAGCAGTAATATTTTGGAAGAAACGTTTTTTTCTGAGCACTACGTCTCAATAGTGGGCTTAAAATATTCAGTAAACCATGCTGTAAGCGGAGGTGCTGTCATCCAGGCTTTGCTGTTGCATTTCTAGGGCAGAGGAAATGTAGATTCAGCATCATTCTTAAGGGCCCCAGGATTTTCAGAACAATCAGTGAGCACTGGGTTCAACTTCAAGTCACCAGCCGCATTGGCCCCTAACAGGAGTCAGCCTGTCCTTTGAAGATTCGAAGCCAGGCATTGACTTCTCTGTAGGTAGGAAAGTCCTAAGTGGCATTTTCTTCCAATATAAGGCTGTTTTATCCACGTTGAAAATGTAGTGTAGCCACCTTCATCAGCAATCTTAGCTAGATCTTGTGGATAACTTCTTGCTGCTTCACTTGGCACTTTTATGTTATAGACGGCTTCTTTCCTTAAACCTCATGAACCAACCTCTGCTAGCTTCAAACTTTTCTTCTGCAGCTTCGTTACCTCTCTGAGCCTTCATCGACTTGAATATAGTTAGGGCCTTGCTCTGGATGAGGCTTTGGCTTAAGAGAATGTTCTAACTGGTTGGACCTTTTATCCAGACCACTCAAACTTTCTCCATCTCAGCAAGAAGGGTGTTTTGCTTTCTTATTCTTTGTGTGCTCACTGGAGTAGCACTTCTAGTTTCCTTCACAGACTTTTCCTTTGCATTCGCAACACGGCTCTTCGGTGTGAGAGGCCCAGCTTTTGGCCTATCTCAACTTTTGACATGCCTGCCTCACTAAGCTTAATTATTTCTAGCTTTTGATTTCAAGTGAGAGACACGTGGCTCTTCCTTTCACTTGAATACACGGAGGCCATTGTAGGGTTATTAATTGGCCTAATTTCAATATTCTTGTGTCTCAGGAATAGGGAGGCACAAGGAGAGGGAGAGAGATGGGAACGCTGGTCCGCAGAGCAGTCAGAACACACGACATTTATCAGTTAAGTTCACTGCCTTATATGGGTGCAGTTTGTGGTGCCCCAAACAATTACAATAGTAACATCAAAGACCATTGATCAGAGATCACCGTAACAGATATAATAATAAGGCAAAACTTGGAAACATCGTGCAAATTACCAAAATGTGGGCCACAGAGATGCAAAGTGAGCACATGCTATTGGAAATATGGCGACTGTAGCCTTGCTGCCCAAGCCTTCAATGTATGAAAAAATGCAGTTATCTGCGAAGTGCAACAAAACAAGGTATGACTGTTACATTGCCAAAGAAGGCATTACCAGTGGTGTTTATTCACTGCCCGGAGTAGAAGAAATGTGTATTTTCCTTGATATAGGAGATACTTCATGAACAGTACAGGAAAGAAGAATGGGTTTTATTGAGTATTTACTATGTGCCAAGACCATGCTGAGCAGTTTAAACTGATTAACTCCTTTATTCACAAGAAAAGTGCAAGGAAGTGTTTTCAGCTCTATTTTACACAAGAGAAAGTTGCAGTTTAAAGAGGTTAAGTAGCTTCACTGGGGTCACAGAGGTAATAGTGGAGAGTTGAGCCTGGACCCCAGGACACCTGACCACATCTTTCTCACATAAAACTTTCTGATATTGTCAAAAGTTGCTTTTTGAGAATGAAAACTGAACAGTAAGACAATGGAGCCTATTTCTCACTTTGTGATAGTAGCCGATCCTTAATTTAACTAGAGGTAGAAGACTGCTGTTCATTAAACATATTTCTTTAAGGCTATAATTTATGTTACCATGTGAAAAATTGCATGTAAATGTAATTTAATAACTAAAGGACTGTGACAGAATAATTATAGCAGACTTCTTTGTTTCCTGATTAACTTAAACCAGATTTTTTTTTATGAACTAAAAATTGCTTTCTTATATTTGAGCCAGATACCCTATTCATTGTCATAAATTCACTGGGAAGCTCTGAACATCATTTTCTTTAATCTTAGGAGTGGTTCTATGTTTGAATCCCATGTGTTAATAAACATCCTACCAAGGTGTTTTTAAGGCTGGTAGCGATGTTTTTGTAGATTTGGGGAGTTTAACCTGATGAGATATTTTCTATAACACGTGAAAATTGTCAGCTCATGTCTTGTCCTGACGATACATGGAGAGAATGGTTTAGTCTGACGATCTCAGCAGGAATAGAAATTAATCTCGTGTATTATTTATATATCCCTTCATACCTTTTGTACGCTTTAAACATTGCCTTGTGCAAACTGAGAGTTGTTTGCCATTCAAGTTCCAGTGATGCTGTTTTCCGAAAAAGCACATTTATTTATATCGAGTTTCCTATTCTAGGGGCAGCAAGAATAATGCATGTGTAGTGCGAGGAAGGGATTACTGTAAATACCTGACGAATCTTGCTGCGAGGGTGTTTTCACCCCTAAAACAGACCTAGAGGGCATTCCAGTGGGGTTTTTATGTGTCAATGTGCCCAGTTGAACTGTTTGTATATTTTGCATTAGAATGGGCGTGTTCTCGTTTGAAGGAGCTTCCTTTTGAATCCTATTTTGTTTTTGATACATTTTGGTATATTAAACACACAAAAATGCAATTTCCCCCACTTCCGTTTCAGGCCACAAGGGCCGCCATTACTCAGCACTGCACTGACCTGGGAAACCTGCTGGGCAAGGAGAACGACGCGGCCCTCATCATCGACGGCCACACCCTGAAGTACGCGCTGTCCTTCGAGGTCCGGAGGAGCTTCCTAGATTTGGCGCTCTCGTGCAAAGCGGTCATATGTTGCAGGTAGAAACGAACGGGCTGTGCATAATAATTCATAATCTGATGTGTTTGTGTGCTGTGTTTACATAAAAGAAACCGATGCATGGGAATTCTGGGCTTAAAGTTTTGTATCTCAAAAAGGCAAAACAAAAATACACAATTATTTTTAACTGTTGGATCACAGATTTTGCAGAAGGCGAGTTAGTGGTTTTTATATTTTTTTGTCCGTTTTCTGAGGAGATAAAAGGAAAAAGAACGAGGGCTTCCAGTCATATTCACAATGGGGGATAAATTGGAAAAACGCTGCCTCAAGCCGATTTGGGAAGTTGCTGGGTCCTACCTGCTGGGTTCTTTGGTCCTACTCATGTCTGAGCTCAACTTCCACGACTTATGGGGCTTTGACGCCTCTTTTGTGATGTTCAGTGGGTATTTCTTTTCAGTTAACAGGGAGCTTGGGTTAAGTTCATGTGATAACTGTTTTTGTGTTAAGATCTAACCAGCGGCCAGGAGCAGTGGCTCACACCTGTAATCCTAGCACTCTTGGAGGCCGAGGCGGGAGAATTGCTTGAGCTCAGGAGTTTGAGACCAGCCTGAGCAAGAGTGAGATCCCGTCTCTACTAAAAATAGAAAAATTAGCCAGGCGTGTAGCCAGGCATGCACCTGTAGTCCCAGCTACTTGGGAGGCTGAGGCAGGAGGATCGCTTGAGCCCAGGAGTTTGAGGTTGCTGTGAGCTGGGCTGATGCCACTGCACTCTAGCCTGGGTGACAGAGGGAGACTCTATCTCAAAAAAAAAAAAAAAATCTAACCAGAAGACTTTGTTGGTCCTTCATGGAGTCTGGGAAGGTTTTTTTTCAGGGGTGGGTGGGAGTCGAAGGGACGTTGTTACATTCCATTGACTACTGGCTACATAGAGATCCAGTTCTGGCAGAGATTTGAAAGTCAGACAGAATTGTAAAGAAAATAAACTACTAGAAAGATGAGTGATCACCAGAGGCCAAGGAGAGCTGGAGGGGCTGGCTAGTGGAGCCTCGGTATCAGAAAGGCACGTTGGTTTTGTGCCTGCGGTCGCAGGATGTTCAAGGACCGCTGGAATCAAAGAACAAATGCAAAATGTGTTTGAAACTACTTATAGGAACTCTGTTTTACCTTTACGGCTAGAAACCAGGGGCGGCTGTCGGGGGCCTGGGACAGTGGGGAACGACCAGGGTGCTTGGGAAGGAAATACTGTGCCTCCTGGTTTCATGATGGGCTCACGCTCTCTTTTTTTCAAACAGCTTTATTGTGACATAATTCACATACCATACAATACCCCTGTTGAAAGTCATTCTCACAGGTTTTTAGTGTATTCAGAGTCGTGTAACCATCACCACCACCAATGTTAGAATATCTTCATCACCCCAAAAAGAAAGCCCTGTGTCCATTCTCATTTGATCACTGTCTTCTTCCACCCCCTCCCCACACGAACGACCGCTAATCTACGTTCTTGTCTGTAGATCTGAGACATTTTCGTATGTGTGGAATCACACAGGATGTGGTCTTTTCCCCACTGACCTGTTTCACTCGGCGTGTTTTCAAGGTTCATTCGTGTTGTCGCCTGTGTCAGTACTTCCTTCTTTTTATGGCTGAGTAACATTCCACTGTTTGGATGTACCACATGTTCATCCAGTTATCAGTCGTGTAAGCGTTTGGATTGTTTACACTGTTCACCATTATGTGTGATGCTGCTATGAAGACTGATGTACAAGTTTTGTGAGGACTTACGTTTTCGTTTTCTCTTAGGTATCTACCGAGGAGTGCAATTGCTGAGTCACGCGGTGACTCTGTGTTTAACCTTTTGAGGAACCGTTAGGCCGTTTGCCAAAGTGCCTGCACCCTTTCGTGTTCCCATCCGTGACGGGGGAGTATTTCCATTCTTGTCTTCTCGATTAGTCAGCCTCGTAGGGCTGACGTGGTATCTCACTGTGGTTTTGACTCGCATTTCCCTGATGGTTAATGATGATGCACATCTTTCCTGTGTTTATTGGCCATTCGTGTATCTTCTTTGGAGAAATGTCTATTCAAATCTTTTGCCCATTTTTAAATTAGATTATTTGTCTTTTTATTATTGAGTTATAGACGTCCTTTATATACTCTGGACACAAGTATCTCATAAGATAAATGATTTGTAAATATTTTTTCTCATTCTGTAGATTGCCTTTTCACTTTCTGATGGTATTGCTTGCAGCACAAGAAGGCTTTAATTTTGATGAACTCCACCTGACCTTTCATCCTTTTGTGCTTTCAGCGTCGTATCTAACGAGCTCTTCTGTTTCAGAAGCTGGTCCTGTGCTTTCTTTCCTGGGTTCCATGTGAGCAGTTTAGATTAGGGACATGCCAATGGCAGAAAGGATAGAGAGAATGGTGGGGAAATACTTTTTTTTTCCATAATTTTCCCTGTACGTCTACATTGTGAAGTTGCTGAGCAGTTGGGCACGCGATTTTATGAGTTCTTCAGCACTGGGGGTTGTTGCCGTGCACCCCTGAGCAAGAGTCACAGCGAGTCGGTCACTGCTGCCTGCCGGTCGTGACGTCGGTCAAGGGGCCATCCCCCGACCCGTTGGTGGACAGAAACAACAAGAACACCAGAAACAACCAGAAAAAATGTGGAAAACTCTGGTAAACTGTAACTCAAAGCACCACACTAAAACCCTGTGAGCTTTTTAAAAAGGAAATCAGAATGAGTCCTCTTGGATCCTCGGGGGAGAGCCGGGAGTGCCTGTGAGGCTTTACAGGAACATGGTCTTTTCTTGCCAGGTGCTCGATACTTAAAAAAAAACCAAAAACACCTTTTTTCCTTTCTGCCTTGGCTGCTTTCACAGTGCTTTGTGTGTCGCATACGGTTGCATGCCTAAGTTCAAACTGGAATTGGCATGGAAAGAGGAAATTTCAAATTAAGTACTGTTGCAGTCTAGAAAATGGAAGCATTAATTGAAAAAAGGAATCTAGGCGAGTGCACTGCTTTCCCACTCCAGGAGACATTTCTTGGTTGAGCTCACACTCAAGATTAAAAAAAAATCAAAACATACTTGAAAAAGAAAAGAAAAAAGCACTCGTACGTTTCAGAGGTACTTACTATTCATTGAAAATTTAAACTTAAGCAAAATTCAATATGTGGCTTCAAACGTAAAGTTGACCTTAATTCTCACTTTTCATCTTTAAAACGTAATAGTTGTGAGAGTGACCCTTTTCTCTAATAATGGAAGAAAGTAACTTTTTTTTTTAGAAAATAACTTTTCTGTAAAATCATTAAGCATTCTCTTATCAATATGGATTCAGAGATCGGTGAATGTTGTATAGAAGTAGATAAATACCTTTAAACTAAAACAATATTTTAAGCAGTGAAAAGGGGGAAAATGTAAGAATTCATTAAATATTTTGCTGAAGTTGGACTCAAACAATTTTGCTAATTATGCATCATGATGCCCAAATAGTGTCTGTGGAGTGAAAATCCTAGAGAGGTCCATCACAGTTAGCAGAACAGGTGCCAGTCACTGCTCTGCTGCAGTTTCCTGTCATGTTACTGTCTGGCAGGGATGTTGCCGCATTATTCGATGAAGTGTAAACTGATGCGTCCGAGAAGTTTTTGTCGTGGGCTTGGCGGTTGCGTTGCAAGTTCCTAGCTATCAACGGCAAATAAAGAGGCAAGACATGGTCTTTACCTTGTAACTGCGAATAACGAGTAACAGGATAGGTTATGGTATTTGCCCCAGTTCTTGAAATCCAGGCCCTTAGTGAATGAAGCTGCATCCCCAAGTCTCCACCTGGCCATACGCAGCAGACCCCTTTCTTCCCTTTCTTTTACTTTTTTTTGTGTGTGTGTGTGACAGAGCCTTACTCTGTCATCCAGGCTAGAGTACAGTGGCATCAGCCTAGCTCACAGCAACCTCCAACTCCTGGGCTCAAGCAGAGCGATCCTCCTGCCTCAGCCTCCTGAATAGCTGGGACTAGAGGTGTGCACCACCACATCTGGCTAATTTTTTCTATTTTTACTATTAATAGAGACCGGGTTTTGCTTTTGCTCAGGCTGGTCTTGAACTCCTGAGCTCAAGTGATCCTCCTGCCTCAGCCTCCCAAGTGGCTGGGACTACAGGTGAGCACTCTGCGCCTGGCCCCTTTCTTCCTTTTCTTGATTCTCAGTTCTTTCCAGCATTTGATGTAGACGGTCCCCCCGTGAGGGGTTCTCTTCTCCATCTGTGACACCTCGACCTTCTCGGTTATGTCTCCTTTATGGGATCTCTTTCCACCACCTCTGAAATGCTGTTTTCCCGAATGTTGCCTCTGGCCCTCTTCTCCCCTCTCCAAGTCTTCTCCCCACGTGCTTTCCATCTCTTCTTACAGCCTCGTCCATCTTACAGGAAAGTGATTCTCAACACCAGCTTCACGTGGAATCATCTGGGGAACTTTTAAAAAAAGATTTTCCTTAAAGAGCTAAACATAGAAATGCCATATGACCCAGCAGTTTCACTCCTAAGTATACACCCAAAGGAATTAAAAACGGGTACTCAAACACACACTTGTACATGTGTGTTCACAGCAGCACTGTTCACAGTAGCCAAAAATTCGAAACAACCCAGATGTCCATCAGTTCATGAATGAATAAGCAAACTGTGGGGTATACACACAATAGAATATTACTCAGCCATGAAAAGCAATGAGGCAGAGACATTTGCTACAATATAGACGAACCTCGAAAACACGCTGAGTGAAAGAAGCCGATCACAAAAGACCACGTATTACGATTCCATTTCTATGAAACATCAGGATGGGCAGGTCTCTAAGCCAGAGCAGAGTAGTGATTGCGGGGACTGGGGGAGGAGGGAGGGGAGGTACTGCGTAATGGGTACAGAATTTCCTTTTGGCAGCGGTCCCCAACCTTTTGGCAGCAGGGACTGGTTTGATGGTAAGACAATTTTTCCATGGATGGGACCGGTCCACAGCCCAGGGGTTGGGGCCCACAGCTGCTGAGGATGATGAAACGTTTGGG